TGCGTTTGAAACTTGAAGAAGAATAACCATTCAGCAAACGATAATCACATTTTTCTTTTGTTAATACATCTTCACTGTACCATATATAGTGTTAGTTTGATGACTGTTGGATATGAGGATGAATGTATAAATGTGAATGGATTTGCTCAATATGTATGTATGTATGTATATATGTATGTATGTCATATCATACAATAATAGATCTCTACATCATAAGGATAGATCCTTGAATATCCTAATATCAAAAGAATTAATCATGACAAGCATATTGATGGCAAACCCCAGTTCTATTCCACCTCTTCCTTCATTTCAAACAATTCTATGCCATACCAAATCAAGCGTAAAATCTGAGCCCCAGGACCTAACTCACCTATATTTTTTGTTACAAAAAAAAAATAAACGTAAAATCTCATCTCAATAATTCTATGTTTGTTTTGACTAAAACAAATTAAAATGAAAATGTAAAGGAACGATCATGAAATAAAGATATTATCTTTCTTAAGTATACAAGTGCCATTGTTATTTTTAGTTTTCATTTTTCCCCCCTTCGCAATACCCATAGGTGCATCACTTCAATATACACGGTAACATTTTTTTTAAAAAATTTTTAGCCATTGGGTGTTAGTCATTTAGGGGCATTCACCCTTTGTTTGGATATTAAAGGACCTTGCTGGGTTCATAGGCTATGGTTTTTCTAAGGAGGAAGAGGATAACAATATTGTGGGTGATATATTAAGGCTTTGTAATTTTGAGAATTTGAGAAATTTGGAAGTAAATAAAAGTGGAAAAATGCCACATGGAACAGAAAAGAAGGCTTATTTTAGACGTGGGGAAGATCGGAAGAATTTTCTCAAGTTTGATATGGCGGAACAATTTGATGTTATTATTCAAGAGAAGTTGGAGAAACATGGCTTGAAGTTCTAGATCCAGGCAGATCATTGAAACATCTGGTTTATTGAGAATAACAAGGTCCATGTACAAATTTTTGAATATTTATAATCTTGTTGGATACAAACATTTGAAAATATCTAATTTGGACCAATGAGATAAACTTTTTTTATTATATTGTTTTGCAGGTGAATCTCTAAGTGTTCCCTCTCGATAATTATTGTTGCGTACGTTCCGCATAAAGAATGGTTTTAGCTTCTGCAAGGTACAAATGCTTCTAAACTTTGAAGTTTCAGGTGACTTCCTATATGTTCAATTGATCTTTATGGAGGGATCTTGATGAGGCGTGAAACAGCGAACATGAAGAAGTGGTGGTAAAATAATGATCACTAGCATTTCGATCGGTCCAGATGATAGAGCTTTTGATTGGTTATGTTCTGATAATGATGTGTAAGAATTGCGTTTCTTAGTTATGATTGGTTATGTTCTGATATTGATGTGTAAGAACTACATTTCTTAGTTATGATGCAGAAGTTTTGTAAGTTTGATCAGAGTTTAATGTATGCTGTTGGGTCGCTTTTCTTCAAGTGTTGTGTGATGTCCAAATTGTATACACAAATATGCACAAAATAAGGGTTACAACAAGCAACAAAAACAAGTCGTATACACAAAAACCCACCAAATGAAATGATACAGATCTAGTTTTTGTATCGAAAACCCACCAAATTAATTAGACAAGGAGAGAGAGTACAGCTAGCTGAGGACTCATGGATTGAGAACTGAGGACAAAGAAAGGAGAGATTAGAGACAGCAAGCACCAAGCGGAGAAGAAGATGAGCACCGATCACTAAGACCGGAGAGTGAGGGGATGGTGAACACAAGGGTAAAGCATTGGCGAGCACTCAAGCCCTCAAATGGCGCGGAGAAGAAAAGTCCTGCAAGGGTCTTGATTTTTTAAATAGAAAAGAAGAAATGCAAAAACAATCAGCAAATATCTTAGAATTGTTTTGTGTTTTTAATCGTGAAAAACAAATCACTGTTTTTTTTTAAAAACACCATTAAAAATAAGTTTCCAAAAATGTTTTTATTTTTTTTAAAACAAAAAACTTTTTCCAAAATAGGTAGACAAACATGCCTTGAATACTGTAATCAGTAAGAGGTAGTCAAATTATTTATGAGTAAAATACTCCGTTCTGTTTTACTTTAATTACGCAGACCTCCCTTCTATTTTGATAACATACATTTTAGTTCAAACCATTAACACCGTTGAGGAATATTCTAAAAAGATTCTTTACGCATATTTTTTAATTAAAAAATATTAGAATAAACCTTGTTTCCCCCTTTACCCCTCATTATATTAAATATATAGTTTATCTTTTAATATTAATATTTATTAATAATCTATTTAATATTTTTACTAAATTTAATAAATTAAGACATAACTTTATAATTATATTAAAAATACATATATACAATTATAAAACATTTTTTACTAATATATATTTAAAAAATTACATCACAAGTAAGTTTAAATAAATAAACAAGATTTATTGTAAAATAAAAATTTGTATTTATAAAATTTATAATATGGTAATCAATTCAATAGTATAACAAAAAAATTAAAATATCTATTAAAATTATTTTTTTAATTTCAAATAAAGAGGTATCATATGTCATTAAATAATAATTATTAAGTAATATTTGCATTAAGAAGGGGTAATTTGGTCAAAATAATATGTCAGTCCTATTATTTAACGATCAACTAATGGATGGGTGGATGGGAGTTGAATCTCAAAACTAGAAAGGAGGTTTTTGTAATATATATTTTGATTTTAAGGAAGGTCTATATACGTTTCCAAAATAAAAATGAGGTCTTTGTAATTTAGGTTAAATAGAGGGGAGGTTGCTGTATTTTACTCATTATTTATCTATGAAATATGTGTGTTGATTCCCTAAAATATTCAATTTAAGTATTTACGTTGAAAATGTGCATAATCCATAAGATTAATCTATATGGAGGACAAACTATTAGTACAAAAGATTTTTTAAAAGGTAAAAACTTAGATTAAGTTTATTATATTCATTATGTTAAGTTCTTAAATTATATATCGACATGTGTCTTTTCTTGTTTCATGTAGATTTATAATTAAATGCTAATATTTTAAAAATAGAACACATAGTCATATGTGATTGGAGAACTTGACATAATAAATATAAGTAACTTGATGTAATTATTATCCTTTTAAAATAACTAGGGTAGTTCTATTGTTAACAAAATTCGTGGCACAGCACATAAATATTTGAGACCTCCAAGTTAAAATCTCATTATTATTGGAAAATAATAAATATTTTTCATTTCTGTCAAGGGAAGTATGGAAAATTGGTTTAATCATCTATCAAAATGTCTTTCCCGTGGTTGATCGCTGGTAGCGACATGTGGGGTAATGCAGGCAATAATAGTGGCATTTTATATTAGACTTTAATAATCAAATTAGGGGCAATAATGCTTTGTCATGGTTGGCAACAATTGTTTAACAACAATAATATAATGCAATCTTGAATGGACACTAAGATATCATGATTTTGAAAAGAAGACAAGAAAAACTTCAATTTTACAATTGTACGGGTCATATCAAGTAACAGTGAGTAGAGTATCGTTCTTTTAAGGACTTGATACTGAACAAATTGATCATGAACTTTAAATTTTCATTTGAGTTGAGCAAGAGACATTTAAAATTAAAATTAAAGACTAAGAAATTTCTTAAGCTAACAATTAAAATATCAAAAACGAGCTACCTACTGATCCCTTATTTGCTTCGTAAATCTTAAGATATCGCGATTTTGAAAAGAAGACAAACACTCATCTCAATAATTGTGACACAAATCACAAGAAAACATAAAAGTTGAAAATGATGGTTTCTACAGCTCAATTCTCTTGTCTTGGCAGTTTGAACATCGATTTCTTGAGGCCGACCTGCAAGCCACATGCTTTCAGATGACAGGCACATTATGATTATTACATGTTCCTATCCTCTTGTATTAAACCAGTAATAAGTCGTCTTGCAGATAGAAAACCAGCATTCTTGTTACTTGCGATTATATTGAAGCTACTAAATGTTGATACGCACCACAAGTGTACGACCGTAAAAATAGATAGTCGAAAATCAAAGTCAATATCACAGAAGACCAAATTAATTAGTAATTAGGTAACAAAAATCTTTTTCTCATCTAAGTTAAAAAATCAAGATCGAATTCGAATTAAACGAAATAAAATTGAAATCAAACAAAACAAGAGTTATCAAACAAAACAGGATAATCTAATAGCTAGTTCCAAAAATTCACTTGAAATCTTTATTTAAAAAGAATATTTTAAAATGGAAAAAACTGAAAATTAGTTTAGATAATAAAAGGAAAGGCCATAAGCCTAAAATGAAATTATATGATGATGTCATGATGAGTACCTAGTGCCCCAAGACCTATCTCCCATATTTATTATATTCTCCCCAAACTACCCCTTATTAATACTCCCTCAATAAGGTTGTGGGTTCTTTTATAACAATCATTGAATTCAAAAACCATCCTACATAAAGGTGTTTTAACAAAAATATGTCATATTTATTATAATTAATTTAATTAACTTTTTATTTTAATTAAATTAGTTAAATAAATAATAAATTAGGAGCACCCAAGGAGTATGTTGTCTTGGCACAAATGGGAGGTGGGAAAGAGACGTCCTTACGAGGAGGGACAAGAAGATAAGCACTCGCCCATGGGCCAATAATAATGCACACGACAAATTTTGACAAGATTCCTCCATATCCTCTCGCATCCAACCCATGAGTGGATTGCCGCTAGAAAAATCAGCATTCTCTTCACTTGCAATTATATACTCCTCCTATCCTAAATATAAAGCCTTTATACTAGTGTGTATAAGAATATTTAGGAGCGGAGGAGTACCATCCGAACAATCTCAGAACTTAACTTGTTTTCTCTTAACGTGCTATTGTATACTATCCCAAAAACCTCAGAACTCTTCACGTGCTATTGTATACTATCCCAACAACCTCAGAACTCTTCACGTGCTATTGTATACTATCCCAACAACCTCAGAACTCTTCACGTGCTATTGTATACTATCCCAACAACCTCAGAACTTCGCTTGTTTTCTCTTCACGTGCTATTATATACTATCCCAACAACCTCAGAACTTAGCTTGTTCCAAGCTTAGCCCTCCAATAATTTCCTTTCCTCTCAACCATAGGCCAAGCAATCTCACCATCTTCATCTAGCTATTCGATTTCTTCATAACTATGGCAGCAGAAAAATTAGAAGCCCCTGCTTCTGTTTCGATAGAGATCTTTGAGAAATATGACGAAGAGCTATCACAAGAATGCCACAATATCATCGCCGCCTTGCCCTCGGAATCAGATTGGTTTTCAGTCCAACTCTACCGATATCAAGGTTTCTGGTACCAGAAGAGGCTGATTCAACCAATCCTCAATTGCCAGAAGCACTTCCAAGCTCATGACACTGACATTTTCATTGCCACCCCACTAAAATGTGGCACAACCTGGCTCAAAGCCCTCACTTTCACCATCATCAACCGCAAGAAATATAATTTGAACCCAAATCTAGACACAACCCAAACCAACGCACCACACCCTCTCCTCACTGCCAACCCTCATGTTTTGGTGCCAAACTTAGAGTTTGACCTCTATTTTAACACTAACAACCCTGATCTGAGCTCATTCCCATCACCAAGGCTCCTTTCTAGCCATCTACCATACGCTTCATTGCCAGAGCCGGCAAAACAATCAAGATGTAAGATGGTGTTCTTGTGTCGAAACCCTAAGGATGTGTTCGTCTCGTTCTGGCACTTCACGAATAGGTTAAGACCAGACATTCAAGAGTTCAACACAATCGAGTATTTGTTTGAGAAGTTTTGTCGAGGAGTGAATTACTTTGGGCCGTTTTGGGATCATGTGTTGGGGTACTACAAGGAGAGTTTGGAGAGGCCAGAAAAGATTATGTTTTTAAAGTATGAAGAGCTTAAGAGTGAGCCAGTAAGGGTTTTGAAGGACTTGGGAAAATTTTTAGGGTATGGTTTCTCTGAGGAAGAAGAGAATGGTAATGTTATAGATGATATATTGAGGCTATGTAGTTTTGAGAATTTAAAAAATTTGGAGGTGAATAAAAGTGAAAAATTGCCTGCTGGTGTAGAAAACAAGACTTACTTCAGACGTGGAGAAGTTGGAGATTGGAAGAATTTTTTGACAATTGACATGATGAAACAGATTGATGCTATTACTGAAGAGAAGTTTGGAAAACATGACTTGAAGTTTTAGGCCCATGTGATCTTTATTCAGTCTACTCAAAATGACAAGGTTTGAAGTATTTTGTTTGTTACTTGTTATTACTCTAGAGAGTAGCTATTTCTAAATATCGAATTTAGATTAATATTCAATTAACTTTCTTATCAGAAGATTAGTAACTAATAATATATATAAGTACTGCATTTTTTTTTTTCTTTCATCCATTTCTCTTCAGGCATTGATGTTTAATGTATCTATTACAGTTATTGGAAATTATACTATTCATAAACATACAATGTACAAATCCTAAATGGCAAGGCTCGACGTACTAGTATTTTCTTCCTAGTTGATGTGTATATGACTATTCTCTATAACAATGGTTTTCCGCAGGGTGCGTGAATTCCGAAACTTGAAGAAGAAGAATCATTTAGCACAAACAGGATCACTGTACCGTAGAGAGCTGTAATTTGATAACTACTGTTGGATAAGAGGATGATGCCTCGAGGTTTCAATGCTTTATTTATTGGATCACTGTACCGTGCACCTGTGAATGGCTTTGTTCAGTTTGTGTTTGTGTTAGACAGGTATTTTGATGTGAAATACTTTTCCGTCCTAAATATAAGACCTATTTTGTAGTGTAAATTACAATACAAAATGGGTCTTATATTTAAGACCAGAGGAGTACTTTGTTTTGAATTAAAAGGTTGCGAAAAAATGTGCAAAAGAAAATGGAGCCTATGCATGTCAAATCACAAAATAACAGATCTGTAAATTCTAAGTATCAAAAGAATTATGAAAGATATTTTGAAATGGAAAAAATAGAAAATAAATTTAGATGATAAAATGAAAGACCACAAGCCTAAAATGAAATTAAACAATGTCATGATCAGTGCTCAAGGACTATCAATGTATGATGAAGAAGGGGATGAAACTAGGACAACAAGGAAGGGGCAGAAGATAAGTACACGCCTGAGTTATGCTTTTCAAAATCGCAGTTTGATAAGGAAGTAAAGAACCATCTTCACGCGCCAAAAATAATGCATTTTGTTGGCATCTGAAAGAAATCTGCGAGATCTAGCTCATGAAACTGACCTCATGGACACTAGGCTTCAATTGAAGGCTTCTCTTGAGTTAATAAAATACTACCCCCAACCCTTAATATAAGAATTAGATCACTAATATGAGGGGATTAAAAACTGGTTAATCATAACAAATATATATTAATTTTCTTAAACTACCCTCTTTAATCATGTGTATTGAAACTATCCTTTTAATAATCTCTTATAATCAATAGGGATGTTTTGGGGGGAAAATAATAAATTTTAGAGACAAAATAGATTGACGTCTTATATTTAAAATCAAATCAAATCTCTCACTAACTCTTATATTAAGAACCAAATATAGTATTTATATGCTAAGGGGGGTCTAAAAAAAATCTTAGACATCATAGATGGATGCCAAAAATTTCTTGGAGTCTAGGGGCCAATGAGCAATATGGAGAGAGAGCACGATCGTATGCTTGAATTACAGTAAAAACCGTGATTATAGACTCTGTATTTTGTATGTGGATTCAATCATCAGAGTGTGTTTTTTAGGTGACATCATTGTATGTTCAAGATTACTGAGTCTTTATAATGTCCATTAAAAACTTAGATGCTTACAGGTCAAAACAAACCCAAACAATATTCATATGACCAGAGCTTTAAGCGAAATGTTTAAGACAATTAGTACCAATGGTAGTTTGGAAATTGAATAAGCTAAATGATTTTTTTTTTGAACATATGTGATTCTTGAGTAATTCATATTTACTTGGACATATGATATTACCCTTGTGAATTTAATTGTGTAAGTGATGATGTGGCACCACTTGGATTGAGGAAGGGCAGAGATGAAAATTCATGGAGTGAAAGAGCAAAATTTATTACCCATTTATATATATATATATATATATACATATATATATATAGGATACAAGTGAGCTTTAACTCATCTTCCCTTGGGACTGATTCAGTAGTGCTGCCTATTTGGGTTAACCGATGTCTAGATATTGGACCGCATACAACACATGTCTGCACTTTTAATTGGGCCCAATCCCATCAAGCCTTGTCCAATAACTTGTGCAGTCATGGCCAATAGGAGTTGAGTTTAACGAAAGAGTTAATTCCTCACAATGCAACAAATTAATATTTGAATTGCCGCTAGAAGGGGTGCCCACATTCATTGTTTGATAATACCTTAAATTGAATTGTCTCCAATAAAAAGATACCTATGCATAGCAAAAAAAGAGGGGAAAACAAAGAAAGAAACTTGTGCAACCACTATCCTTACTAAAAAAGAGAGACCCTAAAACGCATAGCATGAGTGAGAGGGAGGAAAAGACTTTTTTTTTAGTACAAGATGGCGCCTAAACTAAACCAGAAGAGGGGAATCAAAATGTGTTCCAGAAACAAAGCTTGCTGGCTCAATGGTCATTTTAAATTTTTACCGATAGGGTTGAGTCTAGCAGAAGGGATTACTCTCTCACAATATGACAAATTAAGATTCAAATCCCTATTAGAAAAGGTGTCCATATTTAGTTCCCAACTATGCTTTGAATAATATTGTCACAACTATGTTCTCCATGCCAAAAAAACACGTTGTGCGTGGTGAACACATTTGAGCTTGGTGCAAGATGATGCATGGCTAAAATTCCTTTGTCTTTCTCAAAAAGGTTCAACTCGGCCGCCAGCCACCACTGGTGATTGGATGTTGGCGCCAGCCATCGGTGTGGTGACTGCCGGCTGACAGAGTTTTTTTTGTGACTGTTTTTTTTTTTTGGCCATGTGAGAAATTATTTAAGTTTAAGGAGAGTGGTGAGAGTGGGATTTGATCCTATTACCTCTTAGTCATTTGGGCCAACAAAAGACAAGGTAACTATTAAGCCACCAATGATTTGTTAACCTTATAATGTAATATATATATATATATATATATATAAGTTGGTTCTTTTATTGTGGCTCGAGCCCGTAACAATAATTTATCTAAGAATGACAAGTCTTGATTGAGAAATAACAAGTCTAAATTTGATGTTAACAAAACATATTTTCCTGATATATAACAGGAAATAACATGTACATTAATTAAAAATGACAACAATTTATCTAGGAATGACAAGTCTAAACTTGATATTAACAATTTTTTTTCCTGATACGTAACAGAAATAACATGTATTAATTAAAAATGACAATAATTTATTTGAAAATTACATGTCTTGATTATGAAATTACAAGTCTAAATTTGAGATTAATATGGTGTTTTTGCTTGATATATACATAACGTGAAAACACAATGTTAATCTCAAGTTTAGACTTATTATTTTCTAATCAAGACATGTCATTCCCAAATAAATTATTATCATTTTTAATTAATGTATATGTTATTTCCTCTTATGTATCAAGAAAAAACACATTGTTAATCTCAAGTTTAGAGTTGTCATTTCTCAATGAAGACATGTCATTTTTAAATAAATTCTTATCATTTTTAATTAATGTACATGTTATTTACTATTATGTATCAGGAAAAAATATTTTTTTAATATCAAATTTAGACTTGTCATTTCTCAATCAAGACTTATCATTCTCAGATAAATTGTTGTCAAAGGCTGGAGCCATAATAAAAGAATCAACTTATATATTTATATATTTTTCACTATAAAATTAATAAATCATGTGGCCCAATGGTCACCTTGCCTTTTGTTAGCCCCAAATGACCAAGAGTTAGTGGGATCAAATCCCACCCCCATCACTTTTCTTAAATAATTTCCATCCATTCACTGCCAGTGGCCTGCCGCCAACGAGGAATTAAACCTTTTTTTTAAAAAAAGCAAAGGGGCATTTTTGTCATTTCTCCTAAATTTCAAAATTCCAATTTAGGAATAACTTTCCTCTCTATTATTTCCAACTCTTAGCTTTCCAAATTGGAATATCATAATTTTAGGCTCCTTTGTCTGTCATTTTCCCTTTGAATTCTAGAGGTTAGTGTGGAGTTATTTCAACTTAATCTGTCTTTCTTATGGATTTTGCTTTTCTAGTTTTAGGCTATCAAATTATCTGTAATGATATTGAGTTCCCGTTTGGTTGACTCTCTGGATTGTTGCTTTGTGATTTGGATTGATATTTGTAGCTTAGTTTTGATATATATGTTTATATATGTGTGTGTATTCATCTATTTTCTTCTTTTGTGGTGAATTGATGATTACTTTGTTAGCATGGTTCATGTTCAGTGATTTGATTTGATTATTATGTGTATCTTTATAGGATTGATGTCTTGGCCAAGCATTAACCATTTGGAAGGAACTACGTACATTAATTGATCTAGATTGCATCCTTCCTTTAACTCCTATATCATTCAATTGAACTACAATAGCCTAAATTCCATTCTAAATAGGATTCTTTCACTGCATTTCTTAAATCCAATCAATTTCCATATCATTCTCTTTTTATAAACTAAAAGCCAAAAATAATTAGCATTTGGACTTTAATCATGTTTTCTATCAATCAAATCAAACTCCATTTCATTCATGTTTTTAGCACTTAGTAAACTTCTAGGATTTTAATAAAAGGGCTCACTAAGAGGACGACTCTAATTGTGCACTATATTGTATTGATTCAGCTATATTTTATGGCCCCAAGGCGACTAAAAGAGTTTCATCAGTGTTCCGACAATTTCTCTATATTGGAATACCGGTTTAAACCAAAACCTCAGCCATATGTTTCTGCATATATAGGCTTTATGCTGTTTGAATTTCATGGCTTAATTTTGCCTCAACCAAGAATTCCCAAAGTTTGGATTTCATGGTCCTTTTGGTATAACTTAGAGTATTCTTAAGTTATTTTGGTCTTAAGACTAATCTTCGTTGAATCGGAAGTATTACAGTTAAAACCCTCCCAATAAATGTACTTCCTAATATTTTGATTTTTGTTCTACTCCTTATAGGGATGAAACTATTTATCTTAAATAATAGCTTGTTAGTTATTGTTACATCTTCTATGCCCTCTCTCATTTCCCTCTTTATCGGTCCGTTTGGCATGAAGGATTTGGAGGGGAGGGGAGGGTGGAGGAGATATTTTAATAATATTCCTTTGTTTGTCGAGATAAAAATTTTAGAAGGGGAGGGAAAATTTTTTAACATTTTCCCTCCCCTTCCCTCATAAGCCTCCCCTCTAAAATTAAGGGAATTTAGAAAGAAATGGTAATATTTTGGCATGTATTGACTAATATACCCACATTATTTTCTAATAATCCCATGCTACCCTTCACTACCAATTCGTATGTGATTTAGTATATTTATAGATTCAATCATATCTCTCTTCTCTCATTTATATGCTATCAAATATTAAAAAAAATGTTTCTATCAAATATATTTTAATTTCCAAACAAAAATCAAGCATTCAAAACAAAAACATACAAATAAATCATCTATGTCGTCTTTGAAAAAGTTATTTGACTATTCGTATCAACAACACAGAGAAAAATAAAAGTTAAAAA